TAGATAGATAGATAGATAGATAGATAGATAGATAGATAGATAGATAGATAGATAGATAGATAGATAGATAGATAGATAGATAGATAGATAGATAGATAGATAGATAGATAGATAGATAGATCGATCGAAAGCACTTTTCAAAATAATAATGTCTAGATATGTTCGATATATTTGATGATCCGTATATTTACGGCTAATCTTATTAAGGACTTACCTTATTCGAGTATAAATAACCTACTGACCACGGACGATTATAGGCCGAAAACTTATTAAAAGCATTTTAAAGACTTTAATGACACTGTACGAAACTGCCTTTAAATTACTGGTTCGCAACCTTCCAAATGCCCGAATCCATATATGCAGTTCCGCAAGTTACTGCGACCCCAAAGCCACAAAATAATTTTCGTTTCCACTTCGTAACTTTAGAGTAGTTGTGTTTTCCGAAGGTCTTAGGTGACCCCTGGGAAAGGGTTGTTCGATCCCCTAAGGGGTCGTGACCCAGAGGTTGAGAACAGCTGCTTTAAATCAATATCAAGGTCTACAATTTTAATGATACTTCTTTTCAAGTATTAAACATGCTCAATCTATTTTCAAATGTTATTTTAATATAAAAGCAAGACTTTTAATGTAGGGACAGGTGTTAAGTTAATTATAAATTGTATGACGTCATTGGGCTTTAACAATTGTTTTTATTAGCACAATTTATCTGTACACGATTCCATAAATGTTGAGGTATATCAAATGAAACGTCAAAAAATATTGATACATTATATTGTGTAACTGGTTAAGAATCTAATGTGCGCATACAAAACGTGCATATTTCATTCATTATTATATTTAAAGCGTTTGTGTTTTCTTTAAATGTGCTAATTTTGTTACAAACTTTCCCATATTAACAAATTGAAAAAAAAAATAAGTAGCCTATATTTATTAAATTCAAAACGTGTTTTGTCTTTTTAAATGTCAGAAAAAAAACTGGCCCATATAATAGCTTGGATTTTTAAAAAAGTTGTTTTCTTATTAGATGAGAATCAGAAGGCTAAAAAATTAAGGTTTTATGAAACACAATTATGATTATCATGTAAATTCCATGTTTGTTGGTACTTTATTTTAGGTAAAATACGTATTCCTAATTTGTCAATTTAAACTAAATTCTGTTGATTTGGGAATAAAATTTTGTAAAGTATATCAAAGTCGAAAATTGTAATTTATCTGAAGAAAGTTTATATTTGTTTGAAATTCAAATTAAAAATGTATTCAACTGAATATTGGGAAACTTATATTTTATTTTTGTAAACATCTCATGTCTTCTTCACATTATAATGGCGTTCATATTCGCTTGATACGAATAACCAGTTTGATAACCCATAAAAAAGGTTTAGACCTTTCTACTTAACAGTTTCTTTTATTTTCTTTTTGACTCTAGTAAAACATGGAGATATTTACCAAATGTTATTATATACTAAGTTGATTATTATAAGGTCGTTTTTTTTTTTCATTTGCATTGAAAATGCAAAAAGAAAGTTAGCAGTGAATTTTCTTCTGAAAATTCATTATCTGCTAAGCACTTAAGCCCCAAAAAGTTTAAAATAAAAAAATAAAAACCACATTACTATTTAGTCATATAAAAACTGTTTGCATTACACAAGCTTGACTTTTCGAGGCCCCTTTTGCCCGTTTTCGGTTTTGTTCTCCCCATCCCTTGCATTAAAAG